ATTGATTTATCAAAATGTGTAATTTTGCTCAGTACTTTTTTCATATATAGATAAATATATCAGCAGGAATAACACAAGGGGTATACTCTGAAAAAATTAAACATGGACGAACTGTCAGAAGTTCTATAAGCTTCTATTTCCTCTGTGGCATTAACAGCTGATGTCAATTTAACGTTTAGGCTTGACGTACCCTGCTTCGGATAAATGTGAGCCCTTTACCACACTGACGAGTTCTAGTTCTGTATGATGCAGATTCATTCATTATTTGGCTAAGCTGTAAATTGTCATGTATTAACAGATGTTATTCTTTTATGTGCTTTTTTACCATTATCTTTATTCCCCCGATGACAGAGCAATATTTGGGATATTTTTGCAGCTAAATCCTTACTCAAACATTTCATATCTCAAAGCTTAAGTCTGTTTTGTATAGAATTTGAAGAAGAAAATTATATTTTTTGTCCAGAGAGTTTTTAGTATTAACAGAGACATGACCGCTTACCATCACTTTGATTCTCTTCAAAATAAATCTGTTATAGAGTCGTTTTATTGACATACCATGTGTCTAGGTTGTCTCCAAGAACCTGAATACATAATAACGAATGCTTTCAGATCTGATGTTATTTCCTCTCCTCCCTCGGCTAAACAATATTTTACGATGAAAGGACCGATACAGCATTGCACAGTTAGCATTGCATAACGATATTTCCAATTGTTGAGTTTCGCTACAAATCACATTGCACATGGTGAGGTTTTCACTCGTTATGCATGTATGTTGAATATGGGACTAACCACAGATGAGTGATTGTTTAAACTGTTCAATATTTATTACTTGTAATTTCAAAACATATTTGTAAAAATTCTATTCATTTTTAATTTTCATGTTCCTTGTCCACGACAGATGGCCAGACAAATAAGAACCCACCCTTGCTTGTTCATTGATGCTGCTTTTGTGTTGGTCATGGGAAAGGGCACTTTGGGAAGATGGAAATGAGATTGAACAAGGAACCTGTCATAAACAATATCAAAAACACACGAAACATACGAATCAATCGTTCCTTGACACAATGTATAAGGCCCAAAACATGTCTGTGAAACCAAGTTTTCTTCTCTTTTTTATTGAAATCTTACTTGCACCATAATGGACATTGTGACTTTCTATTACATTTTCTTCATAAATCTTCATAAAAATTCACTAATTGAATATTTCAAATGATTGTCCTTTCGTTTACGTGTGAGATTGACTGTTTTGAGGCGCCACCAAGTGGTAATTGTTGTAAACAGTGGTAATTCTGAACTGCAATAAGCCAATAAACAGGTCAAACGGCCTCTACACTTGTTTCATAAACTGAACTGTTGTTGACACCAATGTTGTATGTGTGACAAATAAGAGGATTAACGATGATCGCATATAATGTTTTTGCAAGGTATGTAGTCGTTTCTAATAATGATAAAAAAGGATGAACGACCTATTGGCATACAAAACTTCATTTAAGCTTTTCGCTTTTTTGTATGCAATCGCTTAAAACTTTAACTTTTTGGAAAAATATATTCATTCCTCAATAAAACTTTGATATGTCAGCTGTATAGGCTACAAGCTCAAAAATCTAAAATAAAAAATCAATTCAATTCATATTCTGTTTCAATTAAAAGCAAAGAATACTATAATAAATATCATATTTCAAGAAGTACTGTTATCTGTATTTTTTACTCTAGTTTTTCAGTTTTTGGGCATCCTTCTATCCATTCGTCGTAAATATCTCAAAGAGTGTGTACAAAATGTCTAATAAACTCAAACACCGATTTAGATTTGTGTACCTTCATTTTATCATAAGACATGCTAACCCTACCGAGTCGATGATCATACATAAATTATCAATGATTTACCAAGGATATTAACATAGCTGTGTATGTGGGATGTATGTAGTAATGTAGAAGAAATAGTATCGACTTTTCATGTACTCACATGTGAAAAACAGCAAGGAAATATCGACATATCTAAGGAATCTTTGTTAAAAGTCGATTATCGATTAGACAAGACAAAATACGATCACAAGAAAAGTTTACAAGGACCTTTGAGGAAAATGTAGAATCCCGAGCATTGAACACATCTAATTCAATTTCAATCAATATAAAATAGTTCCCATAATGACGTGAAAATAACGTGGCAACGAGCATCTAACCCACGTCTCGATACCTTGTGATGTTATTTCATCTGTCAATCCTCGACATTTGCCAAGTCGTCATGATGTTTGTAACAGATCAAATCGAATCAATTGCGATATGCATGTTCTTTCAAGAAATCAAAGGTTAACAATAGAGCAAGCAAAGTCATCACGACTATTAAACAGTTTGGAGGAAAGCTGGCCTTGTTGATTTCATTATGAGAAAAGATCATGGTAAGAGGCTGGTTTCTGACTCTGATTTGTATATCCGGTGAATATGGTCAATAGTTTTACTAGTTTTTAAAGGCAAGATATCATCAAGATATCAAAAACGGAAATTTCAATACATGTACTTAGTTAAGTGTTTGTTATATGATTTGACAAACTCTTCAATAAAGTCAGTCTTACATGAAAACACGAGCCATCCTAGAGAAAGGCACAGTCTGCCAACAAGTGTAGGTCAATGACTGGTGAAGAGCTTACCACTAACACCCAACCGCAATCAAGATGTTGGCCTTAGCAACCCCAACCAAAGGCCTCCCAGTAAGCCATTATCGTCATTGAAGTGTGTAACGTTATCATTTTGTTTGCTTATCAACACATGACTATAAGACGCCATCGTTATTTTTTACTTACCGTATTTTTGGCTATGGTAAATTATGTATTTCGACTAACGGTCTTTTATAACGTTATTGAGTTTTCAGCCAAACCCTAGAGTGAATATATCTTTTTTACAGCGTTATATGACTTGTTTGGCGTGTGTGGCGTCTTTTGCGTGTATTATTGGTATTTTGTACGTTTTTTTACCACAAAATATTACTTTTTTTGCTTACAAAAAGCATAAAGTTACATTTTTCACGTATAAATATGCAATGATGACAAAAAATAAAACTTTAGCTGCTGTTTGATGGTGTTGTTTGCTGCTGTTTTGCTGTCGCTTGCTGTTGTTTGTTGCTTTGTGCTGCTTGTTGCTGTTGTTTCCTGTTGTTTTAGTGCTGTTTGATGAAGTTTTGCAATTGTTGTTTGCTGTTGTTTGGTGCTGTTTTTATCGTGTTGTTTGCTGTTGTTTGCTGCTGTTTTGATGCTGTTTTTTTGCTGCTGTTTGCTGTTCGTTGCTGTTTGCTGTTGTTTACCGCTGGTATTTGCATGCAAAAACTGAATTTTTGGTGTTTCTAATGTCAAAATTTTAGCATTGTATAATTTTACTTACAAAATATTACTGTTTCACATTTTATACTGACAAAAACATATTTTTTTTTAAAATGTACACAGAAAAATATATACATCTTACATATCTTATTTGCAATCTTTACGTTAAAAAACATCTGTGGACTCAAAATGTTTAAATGTTTAATTTTAAACTTTTCTAGTATTCAGTGATATTTTAATGATGGGTACGGCTCCCACGATTTGTTTACAATTATTGGGAATATTAAGGAAAGAAAAGAAATAAATTAGCATTAGTTCAGTAGTTAGGCAGGCCAAAGAAGTTCGATTCCAGGATAGATGCCAACGATGTATCCCCGAAAAACAATATCCTTTCGAAATCAGCGAAATAAGAGACTTTCCAACATACATATGTTTCCACTTCTCTAGGTGCATTTTCACCTATACGTCCGGAATTCCATTTCCCGAACAGACATAAAAAGATATGATTTGGCTAGTCTAGATCACCTACCCGACCACGTGGGTTTACTGTTGCGTCTTCTGCTCCTCTCATAGTAAGACAACCCCGCCTCCCTGTGCACTTTAATATAGGCCAACACAAGTTATAATTATAAACTAGTAGCTTGTTTCACATTTGTTGTAAAATACGCAGAGTTGATAATTTAGAGGAGGTTTTTTTTTTGTTCTTTACTAACCAAAATTTACATACAATGTTTATATATCTATTTCCTACGATATAAAATGATCGGAATAGTACAGTACATATTATTTTCAGTGCAATATAACCATGGAATAGATACTACTTTAACATTAGCATTTGATAATATATCTAGACCAATGATGATTTGATCAAAGGCGTAGATGTTATACAATAGAAATAGTGTACATTTCAAAGGAAGCTGGTCTCGCTATATCTGCACCCCTGGAACATTTTATAGCAAAATTGAAGGCAGAAACGAAGTTATTTGATTGGTCAAGATTAATGTTCATGAAAAACAACTGACCATTCACAGACCGATACGTCCTTTTGATGATTACAAAAGAGCGACACATACACAACTACAAAGCCAGTGCAGCGTACGTTTAAGAGACCTCGAGATTCGTTTGATATACATCAAAGAATCAAACTTTTCGTTTTATCCACAAAATGGTGCACATAGAACCTTCAGTTTTACTATGAAATGCAGAGAGTAACCGTAACCCCTGGAGCATAGAAGATGCCAGTCCATGAGATACGTCAAGAGAACCTTTTTTTTTCTAAATTAATTCATGGCTTTAGTTCATGGCTCACTGAACTTGTATAATCTATATCGAGGATGGTTTCGACAAAATGACTTAATTCCTCACTCTAACAATTCTCAAACAGCAAGAAAAGAACGGGTATAAACGGAAATAGGTCAGAGTCAAGTTCACCCGCGAAAAAATAAGACTTTTCGTTTTTGTATACAGTGTTCCTTAATATGAGTGGTAAATTAAGTTATTATTTGCTTTGATTTCATTTTGCAGTTTCAATCTCTTTTCCCCACAGCAAAAGCCTCCGTTGATTGTGCTATGTGTACCCACGAAATCCGTGACATACTAAAATTAATTATATACTTACTTTCGCTTTCACTTTCAGAATCTATTTCCGGTTGCACATTTACGCAACTGCGGTAAGGGTGACGGGTGATTATTCGGATTTGCATGCGGTACAGTCTGCAGTTTGTGTATTTTGTTGTCAAAACATTTAAAACCATAGAAAGTGGACAGTGTGATGCCTATTGGAGCTATTTCAAAGTCAACCAGATTGATATTTGAACAGGGCAAACGATTGCTCCTGCCGAGTAGTCTCCCTTCGTGTTCCCGTTCAAGCATGGCCAGCTGCAATCCTGTCACGGAGTTGTCAGCAAGACAGATCCTAAATGATGTTGATAATTTCGTCTTTGACTGCGATGGTAAGACACTTATTCATCCATCCGTTATTTTAATATCCATTGTGAAAAAGATGCCGTTGAATTCGTTAAACGGGCGTTTTAGTGAGTCAAATATCTCATTGATAACGTGAAGATCCGGGATCCTCCCACAGATTATTCTCTACTATATGCTGCATTTCGTAAATGCCCGATAACAAACGTTAAAATTCACGATATGACCCTTCGAAGGCATACATGGCATGACAATTCGGGATCCAACAGTCTGCAGGCACATCTTTGTCCAGGGGCAAGGATATATTGTTTGTCCCAAAACTGCAGTCACTCCATTATAATTCTTGTTTCAGTTGAATAAGGCTTAGCACATTTGTTTGTTTGCTTGTTTCACTGATATATAGTATTTATAAATTCATTGTTTTGGCTAGAATGTAATGTATAATAACTTCTACACATTGAAGCTTTTAGGATCCAACGGTGTACTTATCCACATACATCATTGAATATTACATAAATCTGTATGTACTTAAATGTATGCTTAAAGAGTGAGTTTCTGGTACAGGTCCTAGTGGTCTTCTGTCAGATTGAAGGTTCATTCTCAAATTTCTTTTGTTCACATCACTTCTTAATGGGGGCTTTGAGATTGTACAATACATCTTAGATTTCCTGGTACCTATCTAGTCTAATCATAAATGTGTTTTTTGTTTGTGCATTGACAACACTCCCTCATAAGTTATACAAGCAAATGTATCAGTAATAAACATCAGCTAATTTTGCACACCAAGTAAATTTTAAAGTATTTGAAGCTATAAAAATCAAAATATACTTAGTTTAGGCCTTTTTATAACTTTAGCCATTACCGATCGTCAACCTATTTATGCTGTGTAACGGTTATTGCCAAGGATTACAAAGAACATTTACACATTATATGTAACATACATTTTCCAAGGCATAGGCAAGAATTGGAAGTTGTCTAGAACAGATCACTGACCAATAATCTATTATCAGTTTTTGTGATTGGTTTTTTCTTCCAAATTCCCACTAAAAGTAAATTGATTCTTAGTTATTGGGACTATGAACTATGAATTGATAATTTACGTACATGTATATATTAAGGAATGATTTCAAATATACTTTGTTTGCTTCACTCAATAAGCAATAAATATCTCTTTCTGAAGTTATAAAGTACAGGGACGTAGCTACCAGGGATGTATAATTAGATGACATTTTTTCACTGGCGTGAAATAAGGAATCGTTTCAGTGTAGACTTTGAGCAACCAAATTTACAATAAAATTTTTCTACTTCTGAGATAAAAGGCTTAAGTATTTAGTGTTGTATATACCTACGGTATTTTACAAAATCCTAACAATATTTTTAAGCTTTTAATTCTGGTCAGGATACACGAATTGTGTAAAGGGAGGTAACTCCTACTCATATTGTGTCCATATTGTCATTGCAGGTGCATATGTAATATAGCCTTGTAATGACAGTCCACGCTGGCTGTATTGTGACTTAATTTCTCAATAAAAAATAAGTCAGAAAGATTAACATTCAGTTTACATCACCCACATTGAAGACATGTACAGAACATTTGCCATAAACATTTAAAGAATTATACATTTTTGGAATTGTACGTATATATATGTACATGTATATGTGTATGTTGCTCAGACCAGAGACCAATTTTCAGTTCCTGTCAGTCTCCACCTGCTTTGGACATTTTGACCCATTCTGTCCAGAAATTAAATACAGATTTACAAATTAACCTGACTTCCAAATATTGGTTGACTTTTGTCAAAACTTGGTATCTCCACAGCCTAATGACCTGGCATGATCATACTTGGTCCCTTAAGTTATTTGGGAACTGGATTTTAATAAAGTGTTTCAAAAAGTCATTTATCCGTGACTTAAATTCAACTCAGTCTAAGAAGTATAAGTAATTAATGGATTTAACAAAATCTTATTTGGAAGACACATTGATTTATATATTAAATGATTGGATGTTCTTTCCTCTAATATGTATTTATTTTCATTCTGGGTTTCCCAAGGGTTTGGTCCTTGGACCATTTTTTCTGTTTCAATGCTACAGTTATGAACATTTTTTAAAGGTTTCTTGAAAATCTTTTCGAATGGAATGCCCTCCCATCCTAATCTGGCCTTTAGTACTACCTTTTCTTCTTCTAAATATTTCCTGAGTCCCTACCCCTATACATTTACTTTTTCTTTCTCAGCATACATGTATGCAACAATCTCCAAACCTATCAATATATTTTCATTGTTCTTTTCAAGTTGGCAAATATTTAGAACTGTTTAAATATTGTATCAAACATATTACACAATACTGTCAGTTGTTTCAGAGGGGATGATAATTTGCTATTTTTTGTACAAGTACATTAAAATTACAACGAAATTTTAATATGTTACATAATGAGATATGCGTATGAAATATTCTTTGCACCCATGTTACCAAATTTAGATTTGATAAGTATATCAATCACAACAGTCTCAAAAGTAACTAGATTTGTTACACATATATTTTGATTGTGTAAAACTAAACTGTATATAGTGTGCAATTTGATACTTTTCAGGTGTCCTATGGGATGGTTTAACTGCTATTGACGGCAGCTCAGAAACATTAAAACGTCTGAAGAATCTGGTAAGAAGTATATTATAATGCAGTGCATGAGATGACTGTCATTGGAAATAAAAATGTACAGTGTACATATGTATATTGAGCATAGTACTGGTAGTGTAACCCAGGAAAATACTAGCTGCAATATACCTCTCGGCTAGAGAGAACTTCTCTTCAGCTCGATCAGTTGAGTGTCAGTCTAGTACACCGGAGGTCCCAGGTTTGAATCCTAGTGGAGACATTCAAATAAATAATGACCTCTGTTACATTGGTGCCCATGTAGGAATTCGAGGAGAATACTTATCGTTACTTTTGCAAGAATCGCTGTAACCCCCAGAAACTTGAGGAAAAGTTATTTCTTGGAGAGAGGAGTATGTAACCCTGGTAAATACTAGCCACAATACACCACTCAGCTAGAGAAAACTTCTCTTGAGTTCAGATTAGTAAGCTAGAGGTCCTAGGTTCAAATCCTATCGGAGGCATTGAAATAAACAATGACTTCTTTTACACTAGGATTGCATAGTTTTTGTACACATTGATTATAAAATTATCTTTTACCTGTATGGATATGATATTTCTACATCAGTCTGATCATCAACACATTTTAAGCTGATCTTAACAAATTTAATACACTGTAAAAGAACATCTAGCTCCGCAAATGTCTTTTTTTTCTGTCATTGCTTGGAATCAAACTAAAAGAGGATCTAATCTGATCTAGGCTCTTTCTCCACCAACATACATATACAAGCACGGTAATACCCAGTACTAATGTCAATTGTGGCTAATAAATCGGTTGATTCAATTGTCTAATTAATTTAAATTCTTCATTGGTCACTCTAGAATAAAGATGCACAAAGATTAATATTTCATTGCAAGGACTTATCTGTGCATGGCATTTACAATAAAAAATGTCTACTTATTTCCTTGATCAGTAATTTGTCTTCGGGTTCAGATGTTTTAGTCATTCTAATTGACATTTTGTCATAGTGATTGTACATCTGAAAGTTCAGCCTTTTCACTGCCTGTGGTGTACAATTTAGAAAGTTTCTTTCATTCTATCAATTAGATTCTATGTAAGAATTAAATAATCTGTTCTTGGTTTTTACTAATAGAATACACGTACATAAAAATATGATTAACCTCATATAAAATATTAACACCTTTTTCTTTTACAGAAAATACCAAAATGTTGTCATAATTTTCTGTTCCCAGGGTAAAAAAGTCTACTACATTACCAACAACAGTACTAATACCAGGAAGAAATACAAGGAGAAGTGTGAGAAATTGATGGGTATCCCTGTTACAGAGGTAGGTGTGTCTGTTAGGGGAAATTTATACAGTGCTTAACTTTCTCATTTCTTGAATCTGTTTCATTTATTGATAGTACTCCCAGTGATCAGCCAGCATTTATTGATCTGGTACAGTAGATTTACTTATTTTGTTTTAGGATGTGTCGCTCACAACAACATTATTAAAAAAGTTACTGGCGTAATGTAGGGAATTTTCTTCAGTTTCTGAAGGAGTATGTTATACCTGTCAAATGTGAAAATCTATCTAGGAACAAATAAATAAATGATATAGTATAAACAATATAGTATAAACAATATAGTATAAACAATAAAATTGATTTACAGGATGAAGTTCTGTGTACAGCTTATGCTGCAGCTCTGTATCTCCATAACAAGAAACACAAAGGCAAGGTGTATGTGGTGGGAAATAGGGCCATGGGGGAAGAACTTGACCAGGTCGGCATCAACCACACAGGAATAGGCGTAAGTAGTGGTCAGCATCAACCACACAGGAATAGGAGTAAGTAGTGGTCAGTGTCTACCACACAGAAATAGGCGTAAGTAGTGGTCAGTGTCTACCACACAGGAATAGGATCTGTCCAGTTGTCTACCTGATAATCAGTCTGCCATTCCTGCATCTGTCCATTTGTCCAACTGATTATCAGTCTGCCATTCCTGCATCTGTCCATTTGTCCAACTGATAATCAGTCTGCCATTCCTGCATCTGTCCATTTGTCCAACTGATAATCAGTCTGCCATTCCTGCATCTGTCCATTTGTCCAACTGATAATTAGTCTGCCATTCCTGCATCTGTCCATTTGTCCAACTGATAATTAGTCTGCCATTCCTGCATCTGTCCATTTGTCCAACTGATTGTCATTCTGCCATCCTTGCATTACATCTGTCCATTTGTTCATGTGATAAATATTAAGACTTTTATATGAAACCTTTCTTTATAATACTGAGATCAATATTATAATACTGAGATCAATGTTATAATACTGAAATCAATGTTATAATACTGAAAACATTGTTATAATACTGATATAAATGTTATAATACTGATAACAATGTTATAATACTGTGAACATTGCTATAATTTTCTGTAACTCTACAAAAATACATTTTCAGAGTTCAGAGATGCAGTTTTTAGTTGGGGACAGGAAAATACCATCCTTAGGTTTACAAATATATACCGTATGTATTATACTTACCAGAATGTGTTTTTGTTTAGCCGGATGTTGTAGGAGATAAGTCCATGTTAACAGATTTCGCAAAGACAGAACTTGACCCTGAGGTATGTAAATTGTATGCCTATCTTCAAAAAATCATGCCTGATATCCATTACAATACTGTTAATGAATTAAAATGGATTACCGCAGGTATATTGTTAAAAGAAACATGTAAATTTTATATAAACAATACTTGTTTGCTATTTGTAGTAACAATATTGCTTAGCAATTTTTAGTAACAATATTTATAAGCTTTTTGTGACAATATTCTTCATATCATATCTAAGAAAATTAAGCTTTACTTAGATAATAAGGAGGGAGTGTGTCATGTAAAATTTTTTATCAATTTTGATCTTTGTTCCAGGTAAATTGTGTACTGGTTGGATTTGACCCTGACCTCAGTCTCAACAAAATGGTCAAAGGAGCATCATATGCCAGGCAGGAAGGCTCACTGTTCCTAGCCACTAACGAGGACTCACATCTACCCCTCAGGTCTAATGTGACTATCCCAGGTAACCAGCTCTTCACAATAATAGTTTGGTTAAGGGATTGTTTGTAACAAACCAACCAGAAACATGAATTTCCCATGGAAGTGGAAGTGAACTGTAGTTTTGTCTCTAAGACAAAAGCCTGTGCAAATACCCTCAATTACTTATTAGGTCACATAACATATTGTTTGTTACTGGTTCTTATTCTCATTCTAATGATTTTGTGTCTGGGCAATAACTTTTGAACATTGAAAAGACTTCTTAAATAAAGTTGCTGTACACATTTATCACCTACAACTGATGTACTGTGCACTGCCATTAGGTCATTATGAACTTGACCTAAAGATCAGAGCTCGAGGCCATAATATTTATTCAAACCATGACCCAACTTGAGATAAATCAAAACTTATGTTCATCAAAATGTACAAATAGTGATGAATATACGATATTTTGCTTGGTCTTAGTAATGTTTTTTAAAAACCTTTAACCGAATCTGATGGAGAACCAGACTGTAATCATATGTGCAATAACTATAATATTTAGTAAATATACTTGTCTATACCATACCTACCAAAACTTACCAACATTGTTAACAGTAACACAGTGACAAATGAAATTCATGATGAAGAACAGTATATATTTGTTCGAAAAGGGAAACTGATGTTTTTGTTCACTGAATCAAATGCCTAGTTTTCAATAGTTTTTAGATTTTCTAATTGTAGTTAAGAGTTTTCAGAGTAATGCTCATTTTTTCCGTAGATCTTATTATAAAAAAAGTGACTTTGTGTCATAAATTGTATATGTTGTGTGATGTATTGTCAGTTTCCAGATGAAGTACATGCACCTTATCACATCTTTTATTGTACATTTATCTCCTAAAAAGGTACAGGAAGTATAGTTGCTGCGGTGAAGGTGCCAGCCCGCAGAGAACCTATTGTTATAGGCAAGCCCAACCCCACAATATTTAATGTACTGAAAGAAGCTCACGGTCTCGACCCTAGTAGAACCATGATGGTGGGAGACAGGTAGGTTTGCAGAAACTGCGATGAATGTCTTTAATATCCATATTTTATAATTCATTCCATTAATGTATATGTCTATACCATAGGTGATTTCTTGTTTAAGATGACTGTTACTGCAATGTTATTTTTTAATATTATTTAACTTTATTCAAAACAAAAGGATAGATGCTGAATTGAAATATTTAAAGATAAGCAACTCAAAATATTTAAGATTTTGTAGAGATATCTGAGTGTTGTTTTATTTCAACTTTCAGTCACTTTTTCCATGTCAGTGCTTGTTTTGTTTCCTCATGTCTATATACAACACAGACATTGTCCTAGCTAAGAATGTGAACTCATGTCATCTCCCCTTGTCTATATACAGGTGTAACACAGGCATTGCCCTAGCTAAGAATGTGAACTCATGTCATCTCCCCTTGTCTATATACAGGTGTAACACAGGCATTGCCCTAGCTAAGAATTGTGGACTCCATGCATCTCCCATTGTCTATATACAGGTGCACTGTGAACTCATGTCATCTCCCTTTGTCTATATACAGGTGTAACACAGGCATTGCCCTAGCTAAGAACTGTGGACTCCATGCATCTCCCCTTGTCTATATACAGGTGTACTCAGGCTGTCCAGCATTGCTAAAATTTCTAAAAAGTCCTAATTTTTTTCAGTTTTGCTAAAATTCCTAAAAAACTGAAAAATTCAAAGGGAATTCCTAAAAAAAGCCCTAATTTTTCACTTCAGTTCCTACTATTTTTTATATTTCTTACAATTTACTGAAAATGTTTTCATTAAATTCATACTTAAAATGTATTTTAATGTAGTCTGTAGTTCTAATTCAGGGTAGACAATGAAAGGCAGTTGACCAGTGGATCTATGTACCCAGATTGTTATTGGTTGTGACTGAGTGACAGAGGTGTGATTCTTAAGGTCACAGCCAACAGCAGCTGGGACACTGAAACCCTGGAAAACACCTTTCCTGCAATTAAGGCATTGTATGTTAGTTTCTATTTTGTCAAATTTGCAAAGGTAAGTCAGTTTAATGCTTTCATACTCCCTATTCTTGTTACAAAATTCCTAATTTTAGCCCTAAATTTGCCCTAAAATTTTGTAATTTAAGCCCTAAATTTAGCCCTAATTTTTTGTCAAGAAGTGCTGGACAGCCTGTGTACTGTGAACTCCATGCATCTCCCCTTGTCTATATACAGGTGTAACACTGACATTGTCCTAGCTAAGAATTGTGGACACCATGCTTCTCCCCTTGTCTATATACAGGTGTACTGTGAACTCCATTCATCTCCCCTTGTCTATATACAGGTGTTCTGTGAACTCCATGCATCTCCCCTTGTCTATATACAGGTGTAACACAGACATTGCCCTAGCTAAGAATTGTGGACTCCATTCTTTGCTGGTCCTGTCAGGGGTTATGAAACAGGAAGACGTGGACAGAGATAAAATATCTGCTGACCCAGAGATCACACGGAATCTTCCAGACCATGTCGCAAATTGTCTTGGGGACTTTGGAAAACACATTCCAGAATCACTTTGATGTTCGTAGAGAATTAGAAATCCTTTTATTTATTTAGTATGTTAGATATAATCATAATGATGAGTTTCCTGTACCTTTCTGTGGTAATATTTGTTCCTTCCTGGATGCAATATGTTCAACAGTCTGTACATGGACAACCACATGTCATTGTTTTTATTTTGTGAAAATATATTAGGAAAATAAAACATGGGAAAAACCACATTACTATTATGCAAATTTTCGTCACTTTTATATTCTAAGTATCTGGTGTTGACAAATTTAAAAGATAAAAAAAAGAAAAAAAAACATACACCCTTTCCAGGGCATAACATATACACCAGTCCAACGACAGAACAGTATACAAACAACCAGAGACAGAACAGTATACACACGTCCAAGGACAGAACAGTATACACACGTCCAGAGACAGAACAGTATATGTCCAGGGACAAAACAGTATACACACGTCCAGGGACAGAACAGTATACACACGTCCAGGGACAGAACATTATACACACGTCCAGAGACAGAACAGTATATGTCCAGGGACAAAACAGTATACACACGTCCAGGGACAGAACAGTATACACACGTCCAGAGACAGAACAGTATACATACGTCCAGGGACAGAACAGTATACACACGTCCAGGGACATAACATATACACACGTCCAGGGACAGAACAGTATACACACGTCCAGGGACAGAACATTATACACACGTCCAGAGACAGAACAGTGTACACACGTCCAGGTACAGAACAGTATACACACGTCCAGGGACAGAACAGTATACACACGTCCAGGGACATAACATATACACCCTTTCTAGAAACAGAACATTACTCCTGTCAAGGGAACAGAAAATTACACACCTGTCCCGGGAACAGAACATTACACACTTGGCCAGAAACAGAACATTACACACCTGTCCCAGGAACTGAACATTACACACCTGTCCCAGAAACAGAACATTACACACTTGGCCCAGAAACAGAACATTACACACCTGTCCCAGGAACTGAACATTACACACCTGTCCCAGGAACAGAATATTACACACCTGTCCTAGGAACAGAACATTACACACCTGTCCCAGGATAAGAACATTATACATATGTCTCAGGAACAGAACATTACACACCTGTCTCAGGAACACAACATTACATACCTGTTCCGGGAACAGAATATTACACACTTGTCCCAGGAACAGAACATTACACACCTGTCCCGGGAACAGAACATTACACACCTGTCCCGGGAACAGAACATTACACACCTGTCCCAGGATAAGAACATTATACACCTGTCCCAGGAACAGAACATTACACACCTGTCCCAAGAAGAGAACAATATACTGACGGTCCGGTACAGAGCAATATGTGCCCAACCAATGCCAAAAATAATTCATTATTGTATCAAAGATATGCAGATATTGAAATTAACGAATGCCTGTCTAAATGGCACATGATGATAAAGTCTACCATGTTAAAAGAAATCGAGAGAAAACAATGAGATGATTTTATGTCGAGCTGAAGATTCCGGAGAGAACACAGGGCAATACCTTCAGTATCTTTTGAAAACTTCATCGAATCAAAATTTTGCAAAAGAAGACATTTATTATGATGATGCAATCGGAATTCAGTCAACTTCGAAATACTGTAGAGAGCCAAATAATGGATAAAGCGGCATCATACCGCAGTTTTGTCTTCATAGTACTCTCAGTGATGGTGAGGGCCTGAAGTTTGAAACCGAATGGGAGACTCAGAAAAATTAAAACTGTTCGAAAGAAATATCGAAATCTAGATCTAGAGGTGCACTAGCCTCATAATTAAATACATTTCGTAATTTGTATGTATTGATAATTTCAGAAGAACGTCAGTTATACAGTTTAAATGATATTAACACCTTATATGCAGATGCACCAGCAGTGTATAGCAGGTTTTAGAACCAAGCTGTATGAAGATAATCAACACGAGGAATATAACAGGTGTAACCCGGGTAAAATAGTAGCCGCAATATACCACTCGGTTAGAGAGAACTTCTCTTTAGATCGATTGGCCAGAGGTCCCGGGTTCGATTCCTAACGGAGGCATTGAAATAAATAATGACCTCTGTTACATTTGCCATGTAGGGACCAAGGAATATTACTTAGCCATGCCCCACCAGCATCACTATAACTCCTAGAAACTCGAGGACAAGTTATTTCCTAGAGGGGGAGTATGTAATCCTGGTAAAATACTAGCCGCAATATACCACTCGGCTAGAGAGAACTTCTCTGGAGTTCGATTGGTTGAGGGTCAGCCGTGTAAGCCAGGGGTCCCGGGTTCGATTTCTAGTGGAGGCATTGCAATAAATAATGACCTCTGTTACACAGGGACCGTAATTCTTTTTTTAAAAAAGGTTGAATATGACTTCCATACAAGAAAAGCAAAACTTAACATTATCATTGCAAACCATATCACGTTTTCAAGAAAACTGGTTAACTGAGGGGCGAGATCTCGGGACAAGATTAAAATCCAGAAAAAGGCAATATCTCTTTCAAAAATTATTGAATCAAGCTGATGTTCATGTCATGGTAATACAACTTACCAAGTTTCAACTTATATCATTTGCAAATGTTGGAATTCTCTGTAAAACCGTTCAGATAAATGTAATTTCTATTGAAATAAGAGTATAGATGGTTTGTATGATGAAATGTATCACAGACAAACCACGAGGACTGGCAACTTTGGTCCCTAGCATCAATAACGAGTCATAGAGCGGCGGAACAGCTGTATGATGAAATGTATTACAGACAAATCACGAGAAGGACTGACAACTTTGGTCGCTAACATCAATAACGAGACCTAGAAGGGTGGAACAGCTGTATGATATATTTTAATTCATCACTGGTATCTAGTCCATACTGTGACGAGTCATTGAAGATTGTGCGAAAGGCACACAAGTGAATAGCGCCTTTAAATACTTATTTAGAATTAAACACAGTAGAGCCAAACAATTTAATATTCCTTCTAGGACTCGTCGATGATAAGGGCCTACGTTTTAAAACCTGGGCGGCGACTGAGAGGAGAACCCAAAATGATAAGGGGAACATATGAAAAAAATCTAGATCGGGATATACACATTTCCCATATTTCTACTAATTTCGTATTTTTCATATACGTAACAGATGTATGATTCAATTTTCATATGCATCAATTGGTTTATACGATATGTATTGCTACATTGTGCGCCTTTTCTACAATTTGAAATGTGTTATAAAGATAAAGTGATGAGAACTCAAATATATTTCTGCTTGTTGCACTACACAAAACATGTGACAAGTTTATCAAAGTTAACTTTGGTTAGAGTCAAACTTTATGGTACAATTATACAACGTGTTTATGATCGACATGTCAACAAGGATTTGTAGCTTTCAGTATTGCTTAAAACAGAAACATGGTATCTTACTCAAATAAACTAGAATTTACATACAACATTATTGACAGATGATAAACTTTTATTGTAGTGCATGGTGAGGTGAATTATTCCAATTTTCTCGTTCACTGGTAGGTTTAATAGTGATGCACACTACCATCATGGGCATCCAAATCGTCACTGATGTAAGTTTATATATAGCACGCTACATGTATAGTGCCGTGAACAGTAACACCACAATTGTACGATACAGAGTCTGCCCCGTGAGAGTTTTTGCATGCTAAGGTCGTACCACAACAAATCCAGCGCAGTAAGAACAGACGACATTCTTGAAAGTATGGCGTGTACAAAAATGGATGTAAAAGTCGCCGAAGAAATCATGGAATCAACGGACAACTTCGTATTTGACTGTTTTGGTGAGTTAAACATGTAATGTAAACAAACAGATCACTCAAACGAATATTCCAAAACAATGGTACCCGGCTCCAATAGCTATCGCGATCATTCACACTGTGGAACATAGATCGCTAAATACGACTGTCTGCAAAACGACATTATCTTGTTCGCACATATCATAGTCTATATGTTTAAGTCCATGCGGGTACATTTTCAACCATTGATAAATAATTTCGTGATGACAGACTTGCACATCTTTAATTTTCACGTATACATGTACATGCATAATCGGAATGAACTTACATAGTTTGATGGCTTGAAGCACATATACTCTTTATAATTTACGTGCCCCTTGTGGTGAGGCCGCAATCTATTCATTCCCACGTTCGCGTTGATACACTCGCACTCTCGCGTATACCGGCCACGTTTTGTTTTATCTTAACTCGAAATTTCGAGTTAGTTATCCGAAATTTCGAGTTAGTAATCCGAAATTTTGAGTTAGTAAGTCGAAATTTCTGATTACTAACTCGAAATTTCGAGTTGCTATCTCTATATTTCGAGCTGCTATCTCAAAATTTTGCGTTGCTATCTCGAAATTTTGCGTTGCTATCTCGAAATTTCGTGTCAATATCTCAAAATTTCGGATTACTAACTCGAAATTTCGAGATAAAATAAAACACAACGTTGCCGGAATACGCTTCCGTAGTAATTCATCTTATTGTGTCATTCCTAAGTGTATCGATTATTTGAATACGAGAATTTGGTTTCTGTACAGGTGTGTTGTGGAAAGGAGAAGCGGCGGTCCCGGGTAGCGTGGAGACTATAGCTCTGCTGAAATCACGGGTTTGTCACTGTATATTATAACAAAAGTCAAACCAACACACATCACTCGCCCATACCTTCACATATGTTTATTTTATTCATTTAAATAGATGTTACATAATCTTTTAGTGTGTTATGCGTATTGTACGACTGACTTAATAAAGCCCTGTATAGTATGTATCCAGTTCGACTAACGTGCAATGTGACGGTTGTACACATTACATAATACATGGATTTATTGTGATGTTTGTTGATATTCAATGGTTTGATATTAATGTTAGCATTTACCGCTTCTGTTGATTCTATTGATCATGATTTACAGGGAAAGAAAGTTTTCTACCTAACAAACAACAGTAACGATACAAGACAGTATTACGTCAACACGTGTCATCGCTACGGATTTAATGCTAATGAGGTAGGTCGGTGAAAATTGACGTCATCAACACGTGTCATTGCTACAGATTTAACACTATTGATATAAGTCGGTGAAAATGACGTTATATAACCAGTCATATAGATAATTAGCATACGATATGCCGCCGTCAAGCCACTCGGTACCTTAATATTTCTTTCTGTGCTGAATTTCCACTCTTTGTGTCTATTCTGGCACCCTGGCTGTTGCGAGGACGTTTAACTTCATAGAATGGCAATGTAACATTCGACAGATGAGTTTGTTTGTATACATAGGACGAGGTCTTGTGCACAGCTTACCTACACAGTCGGAAGTTTACAGACAAAGTATACGTCATTGGAAATCCAGGTATGGCGGAGGAGCTAGACAGGTTTGGAATACGACATACCGGTCTTGGGGTAAGTGATTTATCTTCAAAGTGGAATCGTTGACTGTCGGTTTTCTTAGTATCCAAATTGAGCCTTTTTTCTATAGCTAGAATTTTATCACAGAATAACATTTTTTTATTACACACATGTAATATGACTTAGCGGACATCTGATTGGTTGAGAGTTCCCATAGGTTCCACTGTGACGTCAAAGCTTCATGTCGTCATTCGTGGCAAAACTGACATTTAACCAAAAGTATTTAGTTTATAACCTATATCACGTGCACATGTCCTATCACTACTAATGAAATATCATTTAGAGACCGAAACAAAATTTGAAGTTTGATTTCAATTTTACACTCAGTAATTTATCTTTCACTGTTACAGCCCGATATTGTAGGAGACCAACGGAGGCTAGAAGACTTCATTCCTACAGAACTGGATCCAGAGGTGAGCGAAGAATGATATGTGAAAGTTATTCGTAAGATACTGAATATATAGGAAAGAATAAAAATATCTTTGTGAGGTAGATAAAATACAATGAGTTGTAATGTTTAGATTGGGTGTGTACTTGTGGGATTCGATCCAAACATCAGTTTCACAAAGATGGTGAAGGGAGCGTCTTATGCCAGACGCCCAGACGTCCTGTTCCTTGCCACAAACGAAGACACACACCTACCACTGGACACTGAGGACGTCGTTGTACCAGGTACGTCATACTAACCTCTCTAATGTTTCTACCTTGATGACGTCATTGTGCCATCATAAGTCAAATAAGGTACGTTACAGACACAAACGACCGTAAATTTATATTTTTTAAAATTTTGTTACGAGAAGACAGTTCAGAACGATTTCATATTTTAGTGTGATTCTAGATTTGTTGTTTACACGTGGTAATGAAAGGATTGAAGATCAAAGCGAACACCCGGTATCTTTACCCTTTGAATTTCTGCTGATGACAGATGCCTCATAACGACACAGTATGAATTCGATTAAAAGTTCGATCCGATTAGACTTCAGTTCATAAGTTCACTCTGAGCTAAAACAATGTAAAAATAATCGATTTGAGAATATAAATCCTGTGTAAAATAGCTTTCTTTGACTTGTGTTGTGTATCTTTTATTGCCAGGAACTGGATGTATTGTAGCGTCTATCAAAGTTCCCGCCAGGAGAGACCCTATTGTCATTGGAAAACCGGAAGCCGCTATCTTCAATGTCCTTAAGGAAGCTCACAACTTAGACCCAGCCAGAACCATGATGGTTGGAGATACGTACGTGTGCATTCGCACTCGATTTAAATTTTAATTTAATCCCAAAAAGTGTTCAACTGGTAGATAGTGATGTGCCTCATTTTCGGAATAGGAAGCATTGTCTACAATACGTCCCATTCAGTATGTTCATATTCATTTTTGTTGCTTGATACAGATTTGAATAGAAGTCCGTAATAGAAGCCTCGTTTTCTATTTTTATTAGCGAATTTGCTTGTATTTGATGTAACTTAATGCCATCAAGGTGGAGATTCGGTGAGGGCGGGGGTGAGGGTGAGGGTTGGAGTGAGGGTGAGGGTGAATATGGGAGCCACTATTCTCAAACAGTTGACTGAATTACTTACATGTTTTTCTTTGTTGCTTTCCCACTTTTATGTCGCTAAAATATTCCACTTTGTATGGTCCAGGACGATTCCTGAAATACATTTAGTGTATTTTTCAGAAGTGTTTATCAGTTGTTTTTAAGGTTTGATAGAATTGTTGGCTTACAGTGTTATATTTTTATTTAAATCCATATTTGAACAAACTTAATTAATACCCTGTGATATGGCTGTTCTATCTTTTCCAGCCCCAGTACTGACATCTTGTTGGCAAAGAACTCGGGCTTGAAGTCCTTGCTGGTTCTCTCAGGGATCACCACACAAACAGACATGGAGGCCCTGGTGACGTCATCCGATCCCGTGACGAGGAGGCTTATTCCGGACTTCTACGCTGAGAACCTTGGTGCACTGGGGCAATGTATACAACAGCTGGGAGAGGAAAACTAACTATCTGGCATGACATACAAATATTATGACGTCAGAATAAATTACAGTCCTCCTGGCCTATGTGTGCTGGACTAAGGTTTGAAGGACACTACCAATGAAATCTTTATGAATAAATGATCTCAGATTTACACGACTACCACAAACTAAATGTTATATAATGTTGAACACTTACAATATTATTGGCTAGACAATGTTCAACTCTAGATTGCAGGTGGAAGACATTGTGGATGGACTTTTTATCCCTTGGGATTGCCAACCTGCTTGCCACGTTTTGGTTCATACTCATGTACTTACATTGTTTTGAAACTATCATAGGAAATAACCAGTTTTTATTGATAGGCTTGATGCACGCGCCCATCTAGATTTTCACATTTCTTTCATCACTTTAGATTTTCCTTAGTCGCCTCCTAGGTTTGAAACCAGGTCCGGAGCATCGCAAGGACAAAACAGATGTATGATGCAGTTTAATTCATCTTTTGGCTCTCCTGTATCTAACTCAATGGTGCTTTTCACTTGTGTGTCTTTTGTATAGTATTTCGCTGGTGAACGTCCTGAATGTGACTGTAACAACAAAGGACGTCTTGTGTAAAGCGTTGCAATTGCCTACAAAGAAATACAATGTTGATACAGTTAGCTATGTTGTTTGTTTTTGTTTTACTTTTTGTGGCATGACAATGTCCTCACAACAGCTTGCTATGAAGAGAGTTGGCCAGGAAGACGCCATGGACGGCAAATTGTTTAAGGAACGAATGTTCAGAGTATAGCAGTAGGAGGGATTTGCCCAAAATACTTTGTTCTGTACGAGTCCACACGAGTCGCCTCTGAAGGGGACGCATTATATCAGGTCCTGTTATCTGTTGATGGTACAAAACGTTGCAAAAGTGTGATGAGATTTGGGAAGTGACCGGTCAAGGTTAAAGATTGCAATATTATGGACGTTTTGAAACATAGAATTTATATAACAGATACCTCTCGAACCTTTCAATATATTTAGTTCATATTCAGCTATCATCATTGTTTATAGGCAAGAAATCATACTGTTGTTGTCCTAAGACCCCTCTTTCAGATAAATCTACCACAAACGTTTTAGATCGTATTCGTCCTTCAGACTAATTATTGTTTGACAGAACCTATTTGTAAATACTAACATTTTCATGAATTACGAAAATGAATGGGATGTTTATTAGGATATGTTCATGTACACACAGTTTACTGGTAGTGTACTGTCCAGTTCATATGAAGTCATCCTTTAGTGATCATTTCCGGTCGTCTCCATCTCTATATATAAACTGAAGCTCGCGTACGTCCTGTATCGGTACAACATCGGAAGCACCACTCTGTGACCTTCATTGTATGTACCACGTGACTCATTAATACACACTGATGTTTTCTTAATATTAATATGAAAACGTGAGGGGAGAGTTTTTCGAAATGTCGGAGTTAGAATTAGGTGAGAAGGGCGTCGAGAGTGTATCAGAGGCCGATGTAGAGAGAGCGTTAGAACAGTTAACAGTGACCCAGACAGATGGCTCTCAAAAGGTGGACGTATGGACAGGTGTGTTGTCAGTAATTAAGTCAGTCCAGAGGAGTTCTCTAGGATCAGGGAAGACATATCTATCAGCCGGAGTGTTCACGGACGACCAATTGTTACTCCTTACTGATCACAACAACCGGAGGCTTGTCTTGGTCGACGAAACCTACACCTTTGTGGAAGAATTCAAATTGGACGGAAAACCTACCGACATCACTCGTGGAAACGAACCTGGCCAGTTTTTTGTGGCTTTGCGAGATGACGGAATACTCAGGTGTACATTTAATAATGGTCAGATTACTATGTTAAGTCGAATGACCAGTCCAACAGGAGCATGGGGCATTGCTTTCCTTGACAGCACACGTGTAGTAGGTACTGAGAAGTGTATTTGTGTACTTGGTGCAGATGGCCAGGACATCCGTTCAATGAGCAAGAGCGGTAGCGACACGTATGTTGCTTTGTCGAAAAAGGAGAATTCTCTTTACCATAAAGATGGGAATACCATTATTGGCCGACACATGAACGGGGTTGAAACCTTCCGATACGCGGACTCCACTTTAGTATATCCAATTGGCCTCGATCTGGATCAGGATGGAAACGTGTATGTGTGTGGACGTAATTCGAAAAACATCCACCTGGTGTCCAAGGACGGGTTCAGGGACAGAGTACTCTTGGCCAAACTTGTCAGTATCACCAATCCTTACGCCATTGTGGTCAATTCTACCAGACAAGAGATCGTGGTCACATCTAGCCAGGAAGACACGGCTTTCGAAGTGTACAGGTTTTGTGACAATAAATGATTCAGCAACAGCTTAAGTCGCTTTTGTTCCACCATTATCATCAACTCAGGTTTCTATTAACGATTTTAACATGCACATACAATTTACCCTAACTGTGCATGTCTGTTCCATATTTGTAATTATTGACTCTTGGTCATTCATATATCTATATCTGTCGGTGGTCAGGATGACAGTACGCTGTGTCTCGTCGTTAACTTAGGTAAATGCCAAGTTCTTTATTGACTGCAGCGTTTTAATGCTAAGAAGCAGCTTTATTTTGGGATGCCAGCGAGCGGTAAACATCTGAATGCATCGCTTGTTTCAACGCCATCTTTTGGAAACAGTTAAGCCGTTACTAACGAACGAGGTAACTTTAGAAACGGTTATATAAATTTACAAAGAGGGAGAACTACGGCATAGATCACAGAACCAGTATTGTCTTATGTATAATGGATTTTTTCTCCGTCTATCGAATAGTATTTTGGTATCGCAAAATGAAACCATTTAAGGTTCATAAGGATTTCCTTTCTTAATATTTTTTCCAAGATTCTTTTTCAATACAACCATAATATAAATATCGTCACATGAAAACGATACATATGACAAGGCACAATAATATACATGTATGTGGTTATGAGAAAAACACAAAATAAGTAATCATAATATTCTTATGTAGTTTTACTGGTAACCTGCCAAGATAAGACGCCATTATATCGCTTAGTTCAAATTTGAAGATACAAATCACATTTGTACGATACAAAGCCCAACAGTGTCGTTTTCTTTAAATATGTGTCTTCTGCTTTAAACTTGTAAATTTATTTTGAAATTTGAATTTAAACTGAAGACTGACCCTTGTTGATAGTTCTTTGTCAGTGAACCACTTCTGTATGTTCCGATTCTGTAGCCATCACAACGACAGATAGTACTTTCTCGCTGATGGGAAGGCTAAGGCATTTTTCTCGCTCGCTTTAATTATAACCAATAAAATATCACTTGGTAATTTCTCGTGCTCTGATTATCGATATTATAGTTAGTAAATAGTTGCCAAAATAAGTAAACTTTGAAGTCAGCCTGACAGTAATATTTAATCAAAATAAAGTAATATTTGTGTCATTTGATACCAAATTTCTAAAGTATTATATTATATTATTAGAATGATTAAAAACATGTAAACATCTTTTCTGTGTTGCTGTCATGTTTAAATATTAATGTCTTGTTAAAATGCGAATTATGCAAATTCATCAATGTTCTAAATTTATACAAATGCAGTAAACACTTAAAAATATCACTGTTCCCGAGAAGTGAGGAGAATAGTCCTGTATTGTGTAAACAATGTTGTTTCAGAGTGACTATAAATTAATCCCGAATCATATAAGTCAATTAATATTAATATCTTGTGGTGATTTATCGATATATAATATTTTATTCCAAACACTTTTCCAAAATACAGACACAGATACATAAAATTCGCTGATGTATTTGGTCCATACTACAATGTAACTTTACTCCATGAGGATTTGAGCTAAACACAAAACGTTTTCAGATCAGCTTCTCAACATCCGTTGAGTTACTGAACCTTAAAATTTAGAGGACCAAGCTCATTTATGTATAGACTTTTGAACCAGACACTTACATCAGTATCTACATAAATCTTTGAACCAGAGACGTACACTTGTATCAGAATAAATCTTCGAACCAGAGAAGTATCTTAATATCTCAAAACTCAGTGTTATTGAGTTTTAGTCACTATCTTAATATCTCCATACTCTGTGTTATTGAGTTTTAGTCGCCATCGTAATATCTCAAAACTCTGTGTTATTGAGTTTAAGCCATCTTTTAATATCTCAAAACTCTGTGTTATTGAGTTTTAGTCATTATCTTAATATCTTCATACTCTGTGTTATTGAGTTTAAGCCATCTTTTCATATCTCAAAACTCTGAGTTATTGAGTTTAAGCCATCTTTTAATATCTCAAAACTCTGTGTTATTGAGTTTTAGTCACTATCTTAATATCTCCATACTCTGTGTTATTGAGTTTAAGCCATCTTTTCATATCTCAAAACTCTGAGTTATTGAGTTTAAGCCATCTTTTAATATCTCAAAACTCTGTGTTATTGAGTTTTAGTCACTATCTTAATATCTCCATACTCTGTGTTATTGAGTTTTAGTCATCATCTTAATATATCAAAACTCAGTGTTATTGAGTTTTAGTCACTATCTTAATATCTCCATACTCTGTGTTATTGAGTTTAAGCCATCTTTTCATATCTCAAAACTCTGAGTTATTGAGTTTAAGCCATCTTTTAATATCTCAAAACTCTGTGTTATTGAGTTTTAGTCACTATCTTAATATCTCCATACTCTGTGTTATTGAGTTTAAGCCATCTTTTCATATCTCAAAACTCTGAGTTATTGAGTTTAAGCCATCTTTTAATATCTCAAAACTCTGTGTTATTGAGTTTTAGTCACTATCTTAATATCTCCATACTCTGTGTTATTGAATTTAAGTCATCATCTTGATACATCAAAACTCAGTGTTATTGAGTTTTAGTCACTATCTTAATATCTCCATACTCTGTGTTATTGAGTTTTAGTCGCCATCGTAATATCTCAAAAATCTTGTGTTATTGAGTTTAAGCCATCTTTTAATATCTCAAAACTCTGTGTTATTGAGTTTAAGCCATCTTTTAATATCTCAAAACTCTGTGTTATTGAGTTTAAGCCATCTTTTAATATCTCAAAACTGTGTTATTGAGTTTAAGCCATCTTTTAATATCTCAAAACTCTGTGTTATTGAGTTTAAGCCATCTTTTAATATCTCAAAACTCTGTGTTATTGAGTTTAAGCCATCTTTTAATATCTCAAAACTCTGTGTTATTGAGTTTAAGCCATCTTTTAATATCTCAAAACTCTGTGTTATTGAGTTTAAGCCATCTTTTAATATCTCAAAACTCTGTGTTATTGACTGTTTTACTCGTCATATTATTATCTCAAAACTCTGTGTTATTGAGTTTTAGTCGCCGTCTTATCATTTCAAACCCCTATGACATTGTTGAGTTTCCACGTCAGTGGTTGACTATTTTTGTTATATGGAAAGAGAGCAATGGCAACACTGTTGTTGATAGCACTCATGGATGTTGTATATACATCAAATAAAGAGATTAAGGGGATCGATCTTTGACGAACAAGCGAAATTTAAATCGTGTTTGTCATCTCAAACATCAGATATTAGTAGCTTTATGTAGAAGTTGACAAGAAAAATTGAATTAATTTTCAATATATTTTCGTGATAATTACAAGGTGAAAGTTTATATATTTAGTATCCCAAAGCTGAACCAGAATGATAAACTCTACAACAGCAGCTCGTTACGGGATCACGAGTTAGCTCCCTTGAACCACTCCGAGCAGTGCCATGCTCTTTTAATTTATGTGGACAACCCGATTCGTCCGCACTTTGGAAAGAAACATTTCTTGCATAAATAGGAACGGACTTGCAAATATTAATGCAGGGCTCGAAAAAGTCTGGCTCGTCAGACGAAATAAAAAAAAAATCCGTAAGTCCGCTTTTATTTCATAACTGAACTACCCTGGACTAGGGGCCTCCCTTCCTGGAAAAACGTACTGCTCAAACCGATAAATGACTAACATTCAACGACTTGTCTCTGGCACGTGCTTTCAGACAGAAACTCCACTGCACAAATTTATAAGTAAGAAACGGTAGGTAGTATAGCAACCTCAAATTGTAATGATTGTTGATGCTACATGTTATTATCAAAACTGCACGAAGTTCATGCATTCAAGTCGCTTGTATGGTTACAAACTAGTGAAGAATTAGGGACAAATGGGGGGAAAACGGAGAAAAAAAAAGAGAAAAAAAAAGAGAAAAGAAACATCAAAGAAACCGATTCAGAAGTTGTGAATGTCGCTGATTTTCATACTGAAACTGTCACAGGTATTTGTTCGAGATAACAAAATTATCAATTGGTCCCGAATTTGACGTTCATTACCGCCAGACGATATGAAAATCGACGGAACGTCATAATGATTCTGACACTATATATCAAGGTGACATATTTCCCCTGTTCCTTTGCAATACTGTCGATAGTTTTATCATCAAGGTCACTGTCAAAAGTCGCAACGTAATTGTCCACGTTACTCTCTGGTGAATATCTTGTTGTCGACAAGGTTTGACATGGGAACATCGGGGGATGATGACAAGGAAGGGTGAAGAGAGGGAGACATTTTTATGTCTGTACAATGTATTAAGGGAAGAGGAGGGGAGGAAATATAAAGGTGTTCATACTCAGGGGAATAATGAAAAAGAGGGTCAAACATGTCAAAAAATAGAGTTTTGTATGGACGTGGGATTGGCTTGGAAAAGTAATGGACATGTGGGATTGTGGCTTAGAAAAATAATGGACATGTGGGATTGTGGCTTGGAAAAGTAATGGACATGTGGGATTGTGGCTTGGAAAGTAATAAACATGTGGGATTGTGGCAGGACATGTGGGATTGTGGCTTGGAAAAGTAATGGACATGTGGGATTGTGGCTTGGAAAAGTAATGGACATGTGGGATTGTGGCTTGGAAAAGTAATGGACATGTGGGATTGTGGCTTGGAAAAGTAATGGACATGTGAGATTGTGGCTTGGAAAAGTAATGGACATGTGGGATGGTGGCTTGGAAAAGTAATGGACATGTGGGATTGTGGCTCAGAAAAGTAATGGACATGTGGCATTGTGGCAAGGAAAAAGTAAGGAGAAAGGTGGCATGGAGATTAAACATTGATGGTGGCATAGAAGTGTGAAAAGAGAGGTGGCATTAAAAAATGCATTAAAGGGTAGGGGCTTGGAAGTGTGAGAGGAAAGGTAGCATGAACATGTTAAGGGACGCTGGGATAGGAGGAAAGGAAGATTATTGGATTTACAAGGATAAAGTGTCTGGGAAAGGAAAGTATGGAAAAAGAACATGGAGGGCATATCAATGTTATATGGAAGGTGGCATGGAAATTTAAGGAGATGGTGGCATTTATAATAATTGGACATGGAAATGTAAACTGGGGATAGCATGGACTTGTAATGTGGAAACAGATTTGTATGGATATGTACAATGTAAGGAGTGGGGGAAGGGTGGGGGGAGATAATCAAGTGTAGCCATGTAAAGAGATAAGGTGGCATGGGCATGTTAGAAAGACATGACAAGGAAATACAAGATGGTGGCATGGATATGCTAGGAAGGAAGAAGAAGCAAGGAATGGAAAGGGAGGATGATATGGGCATTTCAGAGGAAGGATGGTGGCATGGATAAATTTAATGTGAGGACATCCATATAATGGGAAAACGAATGGGTCACAGATTGACAAATCTTAAATGATGGAATTTTTATATAAAATGATACCAATGTTCACATCTTCATAAATTTTACTTTCTGTTCAGAACTTAAGAAACTTTTTCAAAGCTGTTTATTTCATTATCATAGAATCATGCAGCTACAATCATGAGTGTGTTTACTTATAAGCTAGACTGCTGATCATCGTGGGCTTTAACTTGGACAATGTAATAATGCAGAGTGAATTTCTGCTTAAAGTATGTCAATCTTTCAAGTTTTTATGTGTTACTTATTTTAAACATTTATATGTTTACAACATATATGATGCATATATTTGCACAATATTGAAATATAAGATAAATTTTATGTCCCTTCCAAGGCTTTTGCATATAATTTGCATGAATACTTGAATGAATTCTATTGAGATGTGCATTTAGTCAAACCATATTGGATGTTGAATAAGATTAATTTATACATTAACAATTTGCAATTTGTGTGATAAGAAAGATAAAATTTAGATTTGTTTGGTATTACTCTAGAAAGAAAATATGTCTTTTGTTCAGTATTTTAAGACAGGTTGTTATGGGAGGATAGTTGCATAAATTTTACTGTTTCATAAAGGTTTTCTGGTAAGTGGGTCCTGAAGGAATTGAGACATGAAATGATACAAGATATCAGCAGATCTGAAGAATTAACACCTAATAAAGGTAAGATGTTCTTATAAAGTGATGTTTGCTTTTATTTACTTAAACTTCTGTGTTATAAATTTTGATAAATTCAAGTGGT